GAAATTAAAGATGGAGATTTTTGCCTTTTGTTGAACAAACTTAGCTTTTTAAAAACGGTCGGGTACAATTTTTTGTGAAAGTTGGTAGTTTTCGTGTAATTTCCGTTTGAAATGAATGAAACATATAGGCGTGTCGTCGCTCCTAACGATGACATTGTAATATTGCGAGAAAGTCCGTGCCATTGGAGCTGTTTTCTTGTCTTGGGCAGGCCTTTTCATCAACCGTGAATAATAAACAGGCGACCAACTTACTTATCCTGCGAGTCTCTAAGAAAGCACGGGAGAACGATAGATATTAGAAGGCGATTTGTCATGACGTATAAAAACTTCGCGACTACTAGCCTATAAATCACAGTTCCCAGCTTGACCCTAGCACATTATACATTTATGCCATGAGGTCATCGCCAGTTCCGCGAATGAGATAACTGACGTTACTAACTATTTCGCTTTACTATGTGCGTTTATCAGTGGCGAAGCTAGTCATGCAATTGGGAATTATGCAAATCTTATATTTTTTTGTTGTAAATTACCTCTATTCATCAGTTTTTTTGGTTCTTCAAAAACATCGATAACTTGTTCTTTAAAGCTGTCGCAGGGACGACAGCTTTAAGGAAAAGCAGACACTTCTCGATATCCAGTGTACTGAAATTACCGATCGTAATATTTCTCAGGAACGTCTTTACTCTCTTTAATGTATTCATATTCCTTTCAGAAATGCTGTAGATACTGGGAAAGTTAAGACTTGAGTTAAAACAACCGAACTCTCTTGATAAGTTTTTTCTAGTCCAGTTTGTCCAACAAATAGTTCAGCTCAAATCTGCATGCATGTATTTTGCATTATTAATGTATACATTTGTCGGTACATTTCGAAGCCGCCTACTGTCAAAAAATGGATATTGTTGGAAAGAATGTTAGGAAAGAAACCTTTTCTGAACGAAAGGACGCGTTGTAGATGGAAAACTGCTTTTTGTCTAAAAATTCAAAAAATGAGTTATCAAAATCTTGAAACCTGTATTCTATCTGAGTTACTACTGTATCAATAATTTTAAAAGAAACGATGTTGTGTATTTAAAATAATTTGTACTCTGAAAGTTCATTCATGATAGTTTCTGCTTTGCTGCAGATTTCAGTACTTTTACATAATTCCCAATTCAGTATATTTAACCCGGACGTTTTACTACGTAGCTCTACTATTTATACGGCATATTACTTGCTTTATGATTCCACATTGTTGAACGAAAACTGCATTTCGATATCGCGAACCGTTTAGAAGTTGTGAGAGTGGCCTATAACTAGTCAGTAGTCAGTGGAACATTCATTTAATACTAAAGATTTCTCTTAATTAATTGTTTCATGAAGAAAACACGAACAAAAAACACTCAAACTCACTCTACTTTCCCACAACGCGAGGAGCTGAGGTGAATTTGCCTAGGCGGGACGTGTATATGCATCGCGTTATAGAGCGATTTTTAAGAGAATGAGCCAAAGTGACGGTTCGCTAAACAAGTGAACATCTCGTAATTCGAAGAAGTATCCCTCCGCCGCGGCAGCTGTTCTTCCACGCCTCTTCGTGAAGTGTTTGTTTACGGATTCCGCGAAGACATCACTATAAAGAAATCTGAGTTTCGCTGAGGTATATGCACGTACACGGGTCCGGGAAATATTGAAATTTAATTACGTAGTATGTGGAAAACTGAACATGTTCTCGTATTTAGTAAAAGAAAACTGCCACGGATGTAAATAGAAAGAAAAATGATTTTTCAGGATACGTTTAAATACCTTTTCTGATCGTTTCACAGCGAATGGCTCGTGAATTTTTGTAGTGAAGAGGATAGTTTATTTATAATTATAACAGTACTATGCTCTCTTAACTCACATGTAACTTAATAATTGCTTTATATGTCACTAATGTTCTGCATGTTAACGCATTCCTTAATCGTTAACGAGGAGTACGCATCTCACATCCAAGACTCGGTTTTAAAATAAACATAATACTTATCACACAAAAGCTAAATTCAAAGTAATGCTGATAGAAAATAATTTTTACAGAGCTCATAGCACTGCACTTCCTAATTTCAATTATTTCTCGTGACACACTACATTTTCGTCGGACGAGGCCATCAGAAAAGATAGCTTCGAAGCCATTTACAAGTTAGCCAACTGCAAACGAAGGAATGGAGGAAGGAGAGTCTATGAGGTTCAAGGACACAACGACCGCAGAACTTTCAGTTGTGTTGCCAGCACTAGCTGTCAAAACTTCCTATTCTTATAAAAATAGCTCTTTACATGCTTCGGGCCTTGGCTCCCTGCCCAGTGAGTGCGAGAGGAGATAGCGCGCGGCCTCGTGTGCGCATGCGCGGCAGAGCCCAACTGATGTATCCACTGGCGCGCTCCCCGCTTAGCCATGGTCCCTGCTTATTCCCTCGCGCGAAAGCGGGGGAAAAGGGGGCGAACACAAATGTGTTGAAGAAATCACAAATCGTTAAAGAAAATTAAATAATTTTCTTTAACGAGTCACTTGAAAAAATATTGATAAAATGGTACACATAACGACAGATTTTGATAAAAAATAATTTGTATATTCTAAGGCTCCAAGATTACTCTTTAGATTCCAATTGGTGTTTATTCGATTTCTATGCTTGATGCGGCGTTGGATTCAGGATGTAGCTTGTCAGCGCGCTATTTCAGCACTCTATCAAATCTCTCCGATAGTACAAAGAAATTAAAAGTAACTTTGGCAATTTGATTTGGGGAGAGTTTCATGAAGTGAATTCTATAAAGGAGTCGAAGAATGGGAGAGCTCGTTAATCTCTGCTAATTCTGGTAGTGGCTTGGCAACTGAAGTGCATAGAAGTTATATGTATCTAAAATATTGATATTTTCTCAAACAGTTCAGTTTTCTTTTGGAAATCAGTTACAATGATACGAGAATGTTTGTCCCAGTTATAACACCACTAACTCGATATGGGAAAAAAGAAAGAAAAAAAAAACAGATCCCAATTAGGCCGCAAGAGAACCGCGCGCTTGCCTGCTTCCCTTCTCCTACCGTTCACAAGCCTTGCCCCCTGCAGCCGCCCAGAGTAGGCAGAACGCCCACCGCAGCGGCGGCGCGACATCGGGGAGGGGGCATTATATTTTGCCAAATTTCACTTCACGACACACCTACACATCCAGTTTGGATGATTGATACGGCGTTGGATTCAGGAAGCCTACTCCCAACGCTCTATAAGCCCACATTAACTAGAAAAACCAACTTGAAAAATGAGTTTGGACATTTTTAACGGACTTAACAGTGTAAATTCTTTATTAAAAACGAATCAAACGCAGTCTACTGTTTGGAAATCGGACCATTTGTTCGGGCATTAGTAAAATAATTTTTGCTTATTTTGTTGCTGCTACGTGTCGGTAATTTGAACTACGTGTCGGTACATTTAGCCTTAACGCAATTTATGAAAAAATCATTTTCTGAAAAACGGCGGCAATTTTTTTCTGGATAGAGCAAAGAATGCTTAAAAATAAGGTGCAGGTCACATTTTCGTTGATCTCTAAATTTTCGAAAATTGCAAAAACTAGAAATAATTTGAGAAAGAAAATGGCGTTGTAGCATCACTAGTTCAAAACTAATATTAAAATTATGTAAATGAAAAAAATCTGTGAATTTTGAACATTGAAAGCGCAAATGTAAAAGTTCAGATTTTTTAAGGTGTTGGGACCTGAGTTTGAATCCAGGTTGTAGGAAAACCCTTTTTGTGGTCGGAAACTCTTCTGCAGATTCATATAGTATTATAATTTTGCATAAACATTACAAACAAGCGAGAAAATACATACCATTGGAGCATTTCGTTTTTCATGCAAAATTTTGTCAAGAGTTTGAGGCTTTTCTTGAAGAGGTTTTAGATTTTGGGAAACTTAACATTAACGAGAAAGAATATGTCTACAAATGCTTTCAATTATAAAGTGCATCAGTATTGTAAATTAACATTATGAAAGATCTTCAAGAAACATTAAGTAATGCTCAATGTTTTAAAAACTCACATATTCATGTAAATTGCACTTATACCATTCAGTGCAGTCTTCTGTGTACCAAAAATTAAGACAGTGCAGTGGTGAATCCTGACCTAGTGTCATCAGGGCTGGGCTTTGCGTTTTTTTTCTTCCAGTACAACATTAATTTGGCACCACCATTATGAAGAATATCGAACAATAATTGCATAAAGGATAATATCTAAGTATAATATGACCACTGCCACCACTACCACCACAGCTATTGCCATCACTAACACCAACACCTTGATCTCCAAGGCCACCACTGCAATAATCATTGCCTATACCACAACCACCACCAACACCCCACCCTTCTCATCACCACTACCACCCCCACCATGATCATTTCGACCACCATCCCATGATCACCTCCATGAAGATCTTTTTATAATAGCAAATAAAGTAAGTTAATTGATTTCAGTTTTTGCTATGGAATTACTTCTGCCAACACTGTCATTTCGACTAGTTTCATTATTATTGTTCATTGGCTTTAATCTACCTCTGTAATAGCAGATACTGAATAATTTGAAATTTGTTAATTTTTATTGATTTAACTTCCACTTGCATTCTTATATGCCATCTTCATTTTATTGCCTAAGGATACAAGTTGTTTCATCTCATTTTCATTTCTTTCTGGTTACTAATGCAACTTTTTCCAATGTTTATTCTTTTGGTGCATCTAATGGATCGTAATCTTTGCATCTTCATGCTGATTCCATGGTCAAGATGAGGGATAAGATTGGTTGAAGTCCACCATAAAGACATTTTGACTTTAGGAGGGCAAATAAATAGTTTTTACTGCAGATATTATTTCGTTGCTTTTCTTCTGGATAGTCTCAATTATGAATTCAAAATGATTTTCATTTGCTAGAAATGTACTTGAAGGAAAACGGGTGATATTACAACTTCATCTCAAGTGTGTTCCCGTTGTGATTTTATGTGTGGGACCTTTGCAGCACATTCGTGGTTTGGAGTTGTGCCTGCGCGCTAAGCTAGGTAGTTGTCGCAGCAAGGCTTTCCCTCCGGTGAAGCGGGGCGCAGCTCTGGATGTGTACCTGACCACTTCAGGTAACACAAGAGCCTTGTGTGATTCTTTACTAAGCTTGCTGATGCCTGTTAGCCTTGTAGCTTCTCCCTTAGAAGACACATGACGGCACTCATGTTCAGGCCAAAGGGAATTATTGTTCTCGCAAAGGAAGAAAGGCAAACAGACTGCTTTCTTCTGATTTTTTTCAGTGAAGTGATAGTGTCATCTTTGATTGTATGCCTATGAATATCATCTGGTGGTTGGGAATTTATGTTCATTTTTTTGTTAGTTTTGATTTTGTACGTTCTGTGCATGACATTCAATGCCTCTGTTCAAATTCATATTTTCTGCAGACAGCAATTAGAGCCTTTTAAGCCTTCATTCATTTTTTGGAATTTTTTCTTTTTTTCTAAAAAGTTTGTCTTTTTTTATTTTTTCTCCTTTTTTTATTTTTCTTCCCTGCTTTGAAATATTAGTGTTATGAATTATGTTGCTTTGTTATTTAATTCAAATGGTGAAAAGGGCCCAGGTATGATTGGATTTTGAATCTATGATATGTTAATTTTTTTTTACCCTTGAAAGTTACCCCAGAGAGGATCTAATGAAATAAAAAGAAAACACACACATACACACACAAGTTAGTGGGATGTGGATGTTTATGCAATTGCTTGCCACTTTGGAAAATCATAATAGGAAAGAATATGTCTCCAAAAAGAGTCTTGTTTTGGTTGTTAAATGCATTTATGCATTTGCATATAATGAATATGTAATTGTCGTCAAGTATCTTCTTGTTTGTGCATATGTATTCTTTGCATGATGCACTGGTGTGTTGCACTTGTTCTTTTTCCTTTGAGCTCTGAAGTTGCTATTTGTTATTTACTGTTATTCTTTGCTCCTTTTCATTTTTTTCTCTTTGTTTTTTCCCCATCCATATTTCATTTTTTTCTTTTAGCATTTTCCCCATATTACTTGATTTTGTTGCAGTCAGTTCGCAAGCTTGAGAATACTATAAGAGACAAAGTTAAGGGGACTGGAAGTCAGGCTTTGCCAGCCATAACACGTGGGAGTGTTCTTAAAAAATACTTCCCTACTGCAGGTAAGAGTGAGCCATTATTTATTGAAGAAATTTAGTTTTTAATAAACAGTTCTCAGAAGAAGTGGCCTTGACTGAAGAAAAAAATAATTATTTCCATATTAATGCAATAAACACCAAACAGTCAGTAAAGCTACTGGGCTTCTTACTTCTACCCTTGTATAAATATTTGCTCTTAAATTCTGGAAAGGGTGTGCGAAGCAGTGGCAGTATAAAAGTAATTAGGATAATTAATTGATGTTGTTTTGCATCTGACTATACTTTCAAGCATCTTGGTTTTAACCCTTTGCGATCAGAAATGATTGGTAACATGAACATCTTTTATGTCGGAAGGCATCTTTAATATGACATTGCGTCAAGGGCTGTCAGCTCAGAGCTTTCAGGAAGGTGGCTCACCCTACAGTATGGAGAACATCTCTCAGATGAGAACGTCAATTCTGTGACCCATTCAGAAGGAATTCAAGAGATGACAGTGGATTTCCTTCATATTTCTAGATAAGTTCTCCATCCAACAATGAGATAGTTTTGTGAATTGGAAATAGATGGTATTTTGAAATACATACAAACGTAATCTGATAAAAGTGTTTTGCCACACTTATCCTTGTCATTCTCTTGTCAAACATGTCCTGGCAAGCGGCGTCCATCCAGCTGAATGTTTTGAGCTGTTTCACATACAGAACAAAATTCAAAGGAGTTTTGAATGTAAAAATTGTTTTCTGTATACATTGACCTTTGTTTTAAAAATAAAATAATTGTTTTCTTGCATTGCATTTAGTTGTCTATTTCCAAAATTGTAACATCAATAAATTTAACTACTAAAATAGGGCGAATTGGAACATAGTTTTCAGGATTAAAGAAAATTTGTTATTTTTTAATATATTATTCGAATATACTGTTCATTGTCAAGTTACAGCAAAAATAATAACGAACAAGTTCAATACTGTTTAAAATACAATGCCAGTTGAATTAAATGTAAAGCATCTGCTTGTAAAACCGCGAAACAATGTTTGAGGTTGTGGAAGTGCGAAGTGCGCGAACTCTCAGAGTCAACACTCTGTTTTCTTATGTCATCTCAGAGATGCCCTCTGACCTGTAGGATACTACATTGCGTGCAGACACATGAGCTTGGATATCATTTCAAGATGTCATCTCAGACATGCCATATGAGTGCAATGGGTTAATTCTGTTACCTGATGTTCTTTTGTGTTAGGATTATCTTATTTAAACTTGATTTCTGTTACTGACACCTGTTTGATTTTAACAGAAAAGTCAACAAACCTTTGTTACTGTCGATTCCTTGCGGTGTTATTCATGGGATCTGAAATTAAGAAGTATTGCTAAATTGGAGTAGTGGTAAAGTGTTACGAGAATTAGTGAAAAAGAAAATACTCTCCGTCATTATTTCTCCTAGTTTGCAGATAATTTCTCTTAGGATATTAGGATATCTTCATATTATCCCTCACCACTTTTCTCTACTTATAGATTGTTTCTATGAAGTGCGAATGATCAGAAACTTGTAAAAATATGCATGTAGGAAATGTCTAAATTGAGACCCTTAAAGCTTGAACCATGAAAAAGTGCAGCAGTCATCACTGCATGTAACAAGAGTTTTTCAAGTTGACACATTTTGCATATGCGTGAAAACAATTGCTTCCTTGAAACATTTGCTGCTGCTGCTGCTGCTGCTACTGTAGTAGAGAGAAGAAAATTATCACAATCAACAACAAAATGTTCTCAAATTTTTGGACCAAAAATCCATGTTTACGAGTAAGGCTCTTTTGAACTGTAATTTTATGCACACATCTGACTTAAGGTCTATTAGTGCTGTTTTAAAGATGGATAGGATTGGTGCTGGTGATGGGATAAATCCAAGTTTGTCCTTGAATGTCTGGATAGATGCCTGTTTGAATAGATGGTTGGATGAATGAATGGATGGGTGAATGGATATATGGTTGCTTGGATGAATATTGGAATGGTTGGATATGTGGATGAATGGATGGAAATATATTGTTCTGAGAATCATCAAGGTATTTTAAATTGAGGGCACTTAACATTAAGCCCTTCAGACTTTTTCAAAATTTTCTGAAAACTTAACTGCAAATTTTATTTTTGAATAGAGGAAAGGCAACTTAAATGCATGGCATAGTTACAATACTCATTAAAACCTCCAATATTTTGAAAATTGCAGAAATACAAATTTTTTTAAAATTTGTCATATATCTAGTGTTGGCAAATTTTACCAAAACATCGATACATCAATATGTTGATACTTCACCAAAAGGTTTTTGATATCAATGAAAAGATTGACAAAAAACATAGATGTTTTAAATCTGATAAAACAGATGACATTTTCACATCCTGTTTTCCATTTTTAATTATAGTACTGAAATGAGTTAATATTTTATGGTTTGGTCACTTATGAACATGTTAAAAATAAATGTTTATTAAATGCAAAGAAGAAAATAAATAATAAAGGACAACGGGTTTTGCTATTTTTCCATTAATTCTTTATCATTCGTTAATCAAGGTAAATCGTCATGGATCTAATAACGACAGATCGTGTTGCTACAAACATGACAAATTACCAAATTGCCATTAGTGGTCAGGTTTTGTTAATTCCAAACTTGTAACTTCAATGCCAGTAAACTTTGAGCTGGTGTGATGTTCATATCATAGAAAAGAAATATTGACTGAGCTTGAGAATTCACATCTTACAATGAGGCATTCAGGGTTGGAGAATGCAGAATTAAATGAAACTTAATGACATTAATCATTTGTGCAGGTTCATGCATGTGTGCGTTTTATAATTATAATCATTAATGTGTGCGTTTAATGGCCATGCATTTGGGAACATATGTGCTTCAAAAATTTTGGGTAACTTCCAAACTTTGAAATCTTGGTTAACTGCCATTAGCATGTAGAAATATCTTTTCATAGTTTTTCATTTAATCTCATGTTTTTATACCTTTAATGTCCTCTTATCAGATTATTTTTGGGAATATTGTTCTTTGGTATATGTGGCTCTTCCTGTCTTTTAAAGGAGCTAACGTCATGTCAGGAACGGTTGTTGCATTACTAATGAAATTATCTCCAGAAAAAGCTTCATTTAGTTTGGTATTCAATCATCATCATTATTCATTCATTCATCAAAGAAGTCTTTGTATTTTATCAGCTGGAATGCATCACAGCTATGTTCTTGATGAAATAAGGTGTTTTTAAAACATAATACTGAAAAAGAAATTTGTCATTTTGAATGGTGGGCAGTTCTGAAATTAAATTCCAGAAAACATTTAAAATCGCAATTTTATGTTTAAAAACATGCAAATGATTCAATATGCTGTAATGATGAAAGGATGGGAATATTGAAACTGCATACAGATGTATAAAATTCATTCAAATGAATCCATACAAATACATTCATTCAAATGAATTATACATCTTATTTTAGTAGTCCCCAATGTCGTACTAATATAGTAGTATACATACTAATATAGCCAGTAACAAAGGGTAAACTAGAACAAAGTAATAATTAGATTGTTTATAATCTATTAGATAAACACAAATTAACAAACATTTGATTTTTAATGCACTGCCGCGAGGGTGGAGGGGTGGGGGAGACAGGGGAAAGAGAGGGGAGGAAAGGAGGGATGGGGAAGAGAGAAGGAGAGCAGGTTGGGTTCTCCTATATATATTAAAAGACACAGTCACAGAACAAAGCATAAACAAGCTCAACATAATTTAATGATTAAAAATAGAAAGGTTGAGGCAAAATTAAATATAGTCCACCCTAAAGCACTTGAATAATAAAAGTCAATAAAATATAAAAAATATTATTATTCTTTATATTTCATTCAAATTCAGAAAATCCATTCATTATAGACAAGAAAATAAATATTATTTCTATCATTTCTAACTAAAGATAACTCTAAAATTTCCAAGATTATTTTTTTTTGTCACAATGTGCCGGGTTTCAGCTAGTGTGTAATAAGATATACAACATGTTTAACATCAAATAAATAGAAATTCAGTGTATGTACTTGAAGATCCTCGCAAAGTGGTTACAAATTATGTAAATGTCGGTTGACAATTGTTCAACTTATTCACCATCTGGCCCTCTAAGGAGGTTACAGTCCACAGCCTAGGACCAGTATGTACATGCGTGGAAAAATGTATGTTATTGCAATGAAAAATGGTCATTGTTTTTATTTGGTGAATAAACGTTCATGATTCATCAAATCTTGATGAATGATCATTCTTGTGCTCTTCTTGATCATTTTTGTACAGGTTTATTGAAGATTTATATTTTTCTTAAATGCATGTATCCCTGCAATTATTATTATTATTATTATTATTATTATTATTATTATTATTATTATTATTATTATTATTATATTATTATTATTATTGATGATGTTGTTGAGAGTGCAACTCACTTTAATTGATTATTATGCCACCTTTCTTCAGTAATTCACGGGCATGTTTCTTCAAATGCACAAGAAAAAAGTAAAGGAAGTTAATAGTGTAATAGAATTTTTTTGTTTACATGCATGTGTTCATTAGTGTGAGATCCTTACTGAGCATCTCACACTATTTCTAATACTGAGAAAATTCCATATTAAATGAGTAAGAATTCGTGAAGTGTACAATCTTAAGAAGTACATTTTTAGATTTAAACAACATAGTTTACAATGATGCTTCACACAAACAAGGATCTGTATTTATTTTTTTGGAACTTTAGTGTTAACAAATGTTTTAATTTGTTTTACTTGTACATGTAAAATAGAGAAAGTTTTGCAATGCAGGAAGAAAAAAGTGCTGATTCTTTCTACAGAAAAACTCATTTGAGGATTCTTTATACTGAAAAGTTGATTAATTCTAGCTAAAGCACTTTTAAATACTTATATAGTGAGAATCCATGTTTTGTGGGTCATTGATACCCCAAAAGTGGAATTTCTGAATATGTCTATCGTGTCAGGTTATTTTAATATAACAAACAAGTCCTGTTAATAATTAGTTTATTATAACTGATGGATAGTACAAGTAATATTCAAGCCACTGGCCTTCACCCCAACTCTACTCAGCCCAACCCTTATAGCTATGCTGACAGTCCATCTGCAAATAACAATACTACCTAAACCGTCCTTAGGATTTTCACCAAAATTATTATTCCCCGCAAGATCTGTTTGATGTCGAACCTACATGACTAATTTTTATTGCACACACAAATTGAAAGAAAACTATGCAGTCTCTGTCCTTTTGAGAGGTGTGGTTTTGTTAGACGTCCCGAACACTCCTCCCCCTCACCCCTTTCCCTCACGCTGAACCCAGCGAGTGAGATTGCTCAGAGTTTTGCACAGTGTAAAACACCTGCTTTGGAGCCTCTGCACGTGCGCCGACTCCAAGTGATAGCGGAGCCCGCTATTCTGCCAAATGTAGTGGGCGACTTACATCTAAGGCTAACTGTAACTTTGTTATGTTATGTGGAATTTCTTCCCTTAATTGAGGATCAGTGTCGTGCTAAATATATTCCCATGATGAAACATCATAGTGAGTTATTCAATTGCGCTTATAACACTTTAGCGTTTACATGCTACTGGATTTTGAAGGTCCATAAAACATGTCATGATGAGCTTTGCATACATGAGAATAATTTGGGTTAAAACCTAAGGATCTGGGCCTTATTCATTACCTTTTTAAAATTATTGTATTATATAATTCATTTAAGTATAGGAAACATTTTGAAATTTGGAATTGAGAAATGTCTTTCCTCCCTTCACTAGATAGTATGGAATTAACTGGATTAAAATATATGTGAATGAAATTTTCATTATATTTTTTCCCTTATGGAAGGTCCTAGGATCAAGTGTTTAATTTGATTGTACTGAACCGGTAATGTGTTGTTTCAGATGAAAGAATTCTGGAATATGACATTGACAATGTTCTCTATGATGAGAGGTCTGAGTTCCAGAAAATTCTTATTGTTCATTCGAAAAGTCTTGGCAATCTGCTTGTCCTTGATGATTTGCAAAGTAAGCTCTACTCTAAATTTCTACTCTTATTGTTGAAAGCAATGTTAGAGAATGTAAGGAAAAATTGTGCAGTGTTAATGCAATTTAAATTGCAGACTTATCTGAAAGTGACCTGATTTACACGGAGACACTGATGCAACGGGGGAAAGAGGACTACAAGGACAAAGAGATCGTGATCCTTGGCGGCGGAGATGGGGCCTTGCTGTGGGAGCTCCTGAAAGAGAAGCCAAAGTTCGTCTCCATGCTGGAGGTGAGTTATCTACTCGTCAACATTTTCATTGTTTTGATGATCCACATATCTACCAGTTTGGGAGCTATATAATATTAGGTTTCCCATGCATTTTTTCATTATGAAGAATGGCAGAACAATAGAGTTCATTGTGTTTTTGTATCACATTCCTAAGGTGATTTCTGATCTGCATTGCCAAAAGATAATAGTTTTTACCAGACCACCTTGTAGAATACACAATTCAGTTGTGTGTCTGCCCAGTTTTAAATGCAATAAATAATAGGGGCCCCAGGTGTCAAATTACCAAGTTAGAAAACATCTTCATGTGCTCATAATGAAAAATGTAATTCAAACCTCACACTAGATTTATGGTAATTCACAAATTGCTTTCAGATTGGACCTGTAAAGTGTGTTCGGTTTGATGAAATATATTATTTGCTTTTGGGGCCCAGGTCCCAGCTGCAACTTCTGGGCCATTGATAGTAACGTCACTCATCCCCTTACATCTACTTTTTACCCCAGGCGTGGGTGGAGTATGACTCATAAAATTATTCTAATTCTTAAAATTATATGTACAAAATCAAAAACATAAAAAAGATTCTACTGGCGTAATCAATTAAAATGTCCATTCTCGAATTTAATTATTTGTTACACTCGGCGCTTCAAAGACTGGAGTAGACACTTTTGTATATGGAGCTTGACATCGGAGTGTGAGTGCTACACATGGGTTCACCAGGGTGTGGAGCCCATGAACATGAAGAAACCTGTCGCCATTGTGTAGTACCAGCTCGTGGACCAGGGATTGTTCAGGAAATCCTCGTGGACATTTAGTCATTGTGTACGTTGTCGTTTGGACCTAACCCTGCACTTTTTGTTGCATCTTTCGATGCAAAGAGATGCCCCCAGTGGGCACAGAGCACACATTCCATTTCAGAGTGAGAACGTTGTGAGATTGTGACAAGAGCCGGTCAGGGGCAGAGTGGAGCATGAGAGAAACATTATAAGAAGAACGTGAGTCGCAGTGATTTTCGAAAACATAGACAAACCGCCCCTCCGACTCCCATGCCCCTCACAATTGCTGGTAAGATGGAGGAGGGGGCATGTATGAAGGGGATGGGGCAACATTGTGATTACCCTCATTTGTTTAATTTTAAGCCAGAGCAAAAAGGAAGTTTATGTAAATCCTGACATGTTTCTGTTGTATGTATGCACTTTTTGCCATTTTCTAAATGCATGTTGTAGTCTTATAAACTTGATTTTATAGAATTTGAATCTAAGTTTTTTTTCAATTCAGGAAATTCAAATATATTTTATTTTTGATTTGTGGGTTATGATTACGTTGCTCCTAATTTTGAGAATATGTTGGATCTCTGAATTTAAAAAAATTATTATAGTTTGTTGACATAATTTAATTTACAAACTAAACCTATTATCCTAAGGATGTTATATTCCAATGTTTATTTTGGCTGTCACAATTATAAAGACTAGTTTTGTAGCTTTCACTCTTCTACATTGTATGTACTTCACAATACAACAGGCAATTTCATCGCTTCTTCTCAGTGCAATAATCTGCCCCATGTAAACATCTTTTTATTGGGATTGCTTAAATTAAGTAATGGTCTTTTAACAAAACCTGCCCCCCCCCCTAAAAAAAACAACGCCAAATCCCAGAATGCATTAGATATTGTTTCTTTGGTCCAGCCAATTTTTTCACTGCATTCAAAAGGTTATCTACATAATTTGCCAATAGTGCGGCATGAAACTACCTTTTTATTTGATTTGATTTATATTCTCATCTTTTCTTCTTTGCGTTTTTCTTGTCCTTGATGTTATTTGCCTCTGCCTTTTCCTAGCAGTTACCTTATGTGGAGATGGATGAGTGAGTCTAGTCGTAGAAGAGGTTATCGACATTGGATGCGATTAATCTTGTAACAATAAAAGTAGAAATATTGGCAAGAGATAATAATGTTTATATTTTCAGCTTAAGTGTAGACTCAACAACGGATATAAGTGAATTCCTTCAGATTATATCAAAGTTAATAAAAAATTTTAAAAAATGCTAAATGTTAACTTCAGGTTATTTTTGAAGCAACATAATCATCTACTCATTGTTATGAATTCTCTGTGCAGTGTTGAATACAGTCGTACAACAGTATTGTCCTCGCTGAAGTCATCAGATGTGTCAATAGGGATAAATCTCTTTTTTGAGAACTTCTAGCTTGAATATTACTGTCTCCACTGTAATCTTGCCACTGAGGGATATGATTATGTTGTCTCTGAACATTAGGCGAAACTGTTAAGTTTGCAACACTCACTTGACTTTCAAACACAATCTGTGGACACTTTTTACAAATATTGATAGCAGTGGTACAGAAGACATACACCAAAGTACAGTAGTACACATAACTCAATTTCAGAAAAAAATGAAGGTTGTTATTTTTATGTTGTCCCGAGCTCTTCATATGCCGTTCTGTGCATAGGGGTGTTTTGTTTACTAATTATTTTCAAAGAAATGGGAATGAGTTCTTTGTAGTGAAATATCAAAAGAGAGCCTTAAGCCTGAAACACAGTATGTGATGCTTTCTTAAAATTAGATCTTAGAAACCATCTTGTGTAGAATCACTTGGAAATGAAGTCTTAAATTTTTCCTGTTACCATTACATCCAGGTCTCAAGGTCTATGTTAAATAAATTTGTAAAATTCAGTTCTGAAATTATGTCCAGCATTGCTGGTAAACATTCACTATTTGTTCTTTGATTTCTGAGTGTTTTCATTCATAAAGTACAATAGTGAAGAGACCTAGACGTCCCTGAGGCATCCACATTTTCCCCAAGAGGCGGTCACTCACCCAGTTCATACAAAATAAATTTCTTGGTGCTCAGCTTTGAGCCTTCTTGTTCCTCCTCATCAACGCTTATGCCAAAATAAAGTGTAGGTGTTTGGATAAGATTATATATCAACAAGTAAATAAACAAAAGTGGAAGAGAGAGTAGGGGCAGATACATGACCATACAATACATTCTATTGGCAAACTTGTATGTTCTCTAAGTAAAACTGATTTATAAGCTGTGGATTTATAGGCACTAAAAACAGGAGAAATAGGCAGGCAATATACGCATTTGAAAGATCACCATAAAATTTTCTTATTCTTATTTGTATACTTCTGTAGAAAGTTTCTGAAGTGAACATAATCTAGTTACCTCCATGGAATTCTAGTTTTCATAGTTGTTCTGTACAAAAGCTCATATAAATCCTTTGTAAACTTGTTGGACAAGAAAGACTGAATTGCAGAACCTAACTTTTCCCTTTCAGTAAATGCATGCTGGAACTCTTAATACTGTACGGTGTGTTATTTTTCTCACATTTCACTTAAAACAGATAATGTTTTCTATTATGTTTAATGGCCAGGCATGACAGAAATGCTGTCACCAGTGGTACTATAACAGCACAAACTTTTTCACTACAATTCTAAATTTGAATTTGTGAAATTACAAATTCCATAATTTCTTCCTGCAATTTTCTATACTCTTTAACAAAATCAGATCTTGCAACTAGAGTATCATTTCTTTTTGTAAGAGTTTCACTTTTGTTTTCTTCCGTTTAAAACCTATGTCATGAAGCAGAAAAGAAAAAAACTGTCCCACAGACAAAAGGCCTTTCAAACAAAGACAATTCCTGTGAATTGATCCTCTCAATTCTATTGTGAAGTCTCCAAATTTTAACTGAATACAGTTAGCAAAAAATTGTATTACTTGTAAAAGTATTATCTTGAACATAGTTGCAAAATACTTTCCCAACATTCTATCACTATAACAAAATGTATTTCATTTAAGATTCTCCTTCGGCAGAAGGACAGTATTGTTCCATGGCTTCAAGACAAGTTAGCCTACATTTGTTAAATATAAGTTAATAATTTCTTCCTGTTACTCTAAAAAGTTACTGACCATTCCCCCAAAATGATTTGGCAGCAATAGCTGTCGACAAAATCAAACACATGACTGAACAGGGGCAAATTAAGCACAGGTCTTTCCCTAGAATGTGCTAGCATATATAGCTGTCAAATCATTTTGGTATCATTGTCAGTAACTTTATATACATATGAATCCATTTACTGTATTACAATAATTGTAACACAGTTCATTTTTGCTTTGCTTTCAGATTGATGAGAAGGTGATCAAAGCATGTCGAAAATATATGAGAAGTTGCTGTGGGACGTGCTTGGATGAATACAAAGGAGAAAATTATGAGGTTAGTGGAAAGATTTTTATGAATGCTAAAACTCTGAGTAATGTGTATTTTCAGTTCAAAATCATTCTTGAACTGTTCCGAAAAATGGGCTTCGTGATTAATGTTGTATTGATCTTATTTGTCTCCTTAGATAATAGTTGAAGACTGCGTAAAGATCCTGGAGAAAATGATATCCGAAGGCCGCAAATTTGATTATGTGTTTGGAGATTTAACAGATATTCCTATTTCATCTAGTCCTCAAGGTGAAGTTTGGGACTTCATCAGGCAGATTCTTAATTTGTCTATGGCAGTGCTTAAACCAACTGGAAAATACATGACTCACGTAAGCATTTGTAATATAATTCCTAAGGCTGCTTCACACACGCATTCACAAATATTTATTGTTTAAATTGATGGATATTCAAAGGGACCTTGCCATGGAGGCTTTCTATTCACTCTGAACTTCCACCATAGCCCCTTCACTTCCACCATAGCCCATGTAGTACTAACATTCATGATCATAGATAATTTTATTTCTTCAAGTCCCCTCCCATTATTTTAGGTCTTGAATCCTTAGATGTAATCTATTTTATTCTGTACATGGTAATGTAATGAACCTTGCTCAATGCAGAATTTCACCAATGCGAATCATTCAGGCCTGCAATACAGGTGGGCTCAGGTAAAGAAGGGTCTACGTTTATGTTGAAGGTTTTGTGATTGTAAGAAGTATTAATTATTTGATACTTTGCGATAGTTAATACAATAAAATATTAAAAACAGCATCTTCCAGAAGAACGTTTTTTCCTCGCAATTATTATGCGCAAATTAAGAGACCTGGGTCAATGGACCCCTGCTTGCCCGGTTGTGGCTGAAAAAAGATAAAGATTTTTTAAATATATTATTCAGTAACACTTAAAATGGTTGCGGGTAAATTTAAAAACATTATAGCAAACGGTCACAAAAAACTATCCTCAGACCTTCAATAGTTTTTATATAAACTGTTGAAAATTTTTACTTCAGTGTCCAATGGACCCCATTTGTCTGGATAAGGGTTAATCATAGGCTGATAAATTCGAATGTGTTAAGTAATATTTTTATTATTTAAATTACTGACCTTGCTTGTTTGCTATACACATTTATAAAGGGGACTCGGATAAAAACTTTGCAGGCAGGTTTGCACTCATTTAGTTATGCTACTGAATTTGACATTCAGCCAGTTTTACTTTATGATAAAATATACATTTTGGTTTCAGTCACTTCTCTGGGCAGTTTTGCAACTTATTTATTCTGAAAACTGTTATGATGAATTAAGAGCTAAATAAAGGATTAAATGAATGGGTGAACAATATAAGTGACATTTTATAAATTCTGAGAAAAATGTGTTTATTTTAGGCTATATTACAGTGGCAATGTATTTTTGTGGTTTTAATGGTGAAAAAAGCACCACTACTTGACTGTAATATTGACTTAAATAAACAGATTTTTCAGAATTTATAAAATATGACTTATACTGTTCTGGTTTCCACTCATTCAAATATACATTCAGAAATAAAAATTACCCTACAAAAAAAGTGGTGTTAGTCAGTTCATTGTCATGGAGTAGCACTTGTGTCTTAACCAAAGCACTAACATATCAGTATTGATACTTGCACGTGTTGCTCTTAAAATTGTATAGAACAAATCAATCACATCCAAGCTACAAGAATCAATATGATTAAAAAATGACTTGGAATATTGGGACATATCTTAAAATTTCAGCAAGGCTGAATTCCAAAAGTGAAATACGCATGGGATGTGCTACGTTTACCCGAATACAGGACGAGGTTTTTTCCTAAATATCTGAGTTGAAAAGCGCGGGGTTGTCTTATATTTGCAGATTAAGCTTGGTCGGTTAGGGCTTTAGTTTTTACATCGCCATTCCAATACACGAAACTTATAAATATTGATGTAACGATAAACTGTGGAGCCCGTAAAAATATTGTGCCTATCTTCAATATGTATTTATATTTGCGGTCATATTCTCAGCATCTGCCACGAATTTATCAGGCAATTCAGACCAATATTTTTTAATGGGTCGGTAGAGGGAGATTCTCCAACAAATGGCATTTTATCAAACAAAAAGTAGCGTGAAAATGAATGTAGAGATTTTGATAGAAGATGTGGGTTTGACACCTGGCGAGTGCAATCTTTTAAAGAAACTGAGGCCATCAATAAGTGCAGGGCAGATAAAAGGTAATGTTCTTAGGTGGCACTTGGTGAAAGACCGAGAACGCAAATCCAATGCGCTAAACTTTCAGAGGGGCTTAAAATGTCAAGAGATGTTGCATGGAAGGAAGACCAAAAAGAACAAAACAGTCATGCATGTGAAGATGTTGAGGGTATGAACAAAAACCATGATTATCATTTTAATGAACAAGAAATTTATAAATCAGCAATAAGCCCTAATATTGTTATCATCAAATTTTCTAGTTAATAAGACAATTTGCAATTTTATTTTGAGTAAATAGTAAGAATTAGTTAGATCTCTTCAGAATTAGAATGTCTTATTCATCTCATATTCAGGTAAATAGGTATATTTGCACCCAATTCATATACATTTTTCATTATTTAATCAATATCTATCAATGGTTATTTTTGCAATTTATGAATGTAAGAATAGTAATATGTGGTTTAGCTTTTTTGCCTACAGAGATCACAACACAGACATTGCTTGGATGGATCCTGGGGAAAAATTATCTACAAATGGAAAAATAATCTAAATATGGAAACTTGAAATCCCCAAATATGTTGTTTCATGTTGTTCAGTATTTATTCTCAAAGACTAATGAAATGAGGGATATTTACTAATTCTGGAACAATACAGTTATTATTTACTGTGGACACAGATTAACAAGTTTCTGCAAAGGGAATAGAAATGTATTAAATTTACCAACCTGTTCATGTATGTTTGACGATACTGTGGCAAAGAAATGTGCTGAAATCTTAGTCCATCGCATTTAAATATAATTACTGGTGTTTTGGTTTGTTTCTACCCCAAAAGGACACTTGTCAGGCAATTACTGGTCATTGCCTTTGTATATTCTCATCAATCTTTACATTTAAAAACATTCTTTGAACTTAAGAAAAATCCCTATTTTTAATTCTTTAAAAACACGTCAAACTCATGTTGTCTCAAAGATGAAATACCCATTGTATTCAATAGATTGATCATAACCTACATAATGAAACAATGAAGAAATTGATGTATAGTGATAAACATGTTTTCTTTAATTGCAGTGTATTGTTAAAATATTGTGTTTATTCAGTAGAATTGTTTTTTAAGAGCAAATGAACAAGGGCTCATTAATTTTCATTTAAAATTTTTTGGAAATATGGTTGAGCACAAAGCTCAAACATCTTTCTAAACAAAAACTATACTATACTTATAAAGATACTTTCTTCAGAAAATTTAGGCAAAAAATTTTCAGCTATTTTCCAGAAATTTTGAAAATGACACGGGATGTGAAGTACCCTCAAAAATTAAAATACTGTAATAATCTATAGAACAGCACAACTAGATTCAACTCGTGATATATTTACCAAATTTCAGCTTAAAACCTAATCTGGCAGAGTTGTATGTGACACCTCCTTGCATCCTAGGGTGACCAGATCCTCCTTGATGATAAGGAGAACATTTGGTGGAAAAAAAGAGGACTAACTATAATATTTTAAAATAATTGTGTAATATATGACACATAATGTGTACATATGACATTGTATTTTTATGGATGTATTCTGACATACATAAGTACTGATACAAGCAAATCTAACAGACACATATTTGAAATAGAGACTTAGGTTCCAGCTACACAAACTTTGCATTGAGCTTCAGTATCCTTCCTTCCCATTTTGAACGCATGATATATGCTAGAGCGAAGTTAAATTTGTATTTTCACTTTGGTGATTTAAATATCACAATATATCTTGAACAAATATATGTCTAGCAAAACAAAAATTACGTGTTTTTCCTTCCTCGACAGAATCACAAACAGTTCACAACATTACGAAAAATAAGAATGAACCTCTTGATTTGCACTGAGGGGGAGGGGGGGAATACTCTGGTGATAGTGCTGCCACCTTCAGACATATTAGGGTAAACAGGAGTCCAAACAAATAATTTCAAAATATCATGATCTCAAACAAAGAAATTCGCAAAAGGAGAATATATTGCGAGTTTAAAAATAATATGCCCAGACAAAAGTATTAAACGAAGGACATTTCCCGATGAAATTGCGCAGGTGTGTGTGTATTTGGGGGGGGTCCGTGCGTGTGTCTTATAAATACTCTACTATAATCTTATAAAATGTATTGCTAAATTGTAATAATAAAGACTATGCAATACAGTAGCCTTGTTTAGCTATAATGACTTACAAGAACTCAGAAGAAAGTATCAAAACATATATAGGCAATATTGAGAATATTTAGGCAGTTTGTTGTATGTAATATTTTTACTCAAACAATGCCTCTATGAAGCTAGTATGAGAAATATAATTTGTTGATTTGATGGAGTTCTATTTTATTTTTCATTTTGTCGTTTTCATTTTAGGGCAATGGAGCCTCATGTCCAGAGTCACTTAAGATGTACGAAGACCAGCTAATGAAGCTAAATGTTCCTGTCAAATTTTCACGTGACCATGCTTTCATACCTTCATTTATGGAAGACTGGATTTTCTACCAAGTTTCTCTCCAGCAAAATTAGCAAAGAATTGTACATTCAAATAAAATAACTTGCTCCTCTGACACAAATATAAGATGAATGTATGCTTCTAGCGAAATGTGCAGAGAAAGCACGAATAATTTATTGATCATGGCTTAAAATAGCCATTTGCGGGTAACAAAAACCAGGTTTTACTGTGCCATTGTTTTGAAACAGACAGTGAAGCATTCTGATCAAGAACAGAATAATAGATAGTTTTCAGGGTTGTTTTAGCCATGTACTATTGTCAGATAAAATGTGTTAGGAACACACTGTAGAGCTAGCAGTTTACAAGGTTAAAAAAAATATAGTAACTTCTTAGAATTGTAGAAGCTATCTGTGATATCTTAATGTATGACGTAAGTACTTGATGAATCTCAAGATGAATTTACTTTTCTGCAGATGCTTAAAATATCTGCATTGATGGAACTGTTAAATGTGAATTAGGTATTAATGATACCAAAGTTTTGAGGACTGCTAGTAAGTTATGGAAATATTTAGACATTTTAGATTTTCTCACGTCAGATTTACCTGCTTTCTTTAATTATATTTGTACCACATTTTCTTAAGCTTCACTGCAGAGTATGAAAATATGTCTTTGATATTGTCAACAATTTCAAATATTGAATGATGCCAACAGTGCATAAAATTTCTTGTTCATGAATGGGCTGTTAATATGTTGATAGGCAATTTAGCAGAAATGTGTTTGTGTTCTCTGCTTACGAATGTGTTACTATCATTGTTAAAGAATTGATTTAGCTTAATGGAAATTCTAACTGTACTTCTTTCTACTGATTAATACAGTGTTTTCTCACAACTGATATTGCTGTGGAATTTTGTTGCTCCTCTCTAGGATGTATTCAGTACAGTAAATACTTGACTTGGGTATCTGTTCTGAAATTTGGAAATATGGTACTTACTCAACTACAGAGACCCTTCATTACTGGGTCACACCCACTTACATCAATTATCTCACAATTATATCTTGATTTAACCTTTTCGCTGCTACATTCTCCGTCAGTACGTGCGGCGAGGATTACGGCCCGTTTTCCTGGTGGCGCTCCTATCTGCGCTGAGTCAGTGCAATGTCCCACCTTTCCCTGTGCTGAATAAGTTTCGTGCGCTCCAGACCGGT